CAGGTTTACTCGATAAACTGCATTCTAATCCATTCATGGTTTTCCCAAGCTAATATATTAAGTAACCAATCAAGTTAGTTTACGAGTATAATCACGAAATTTTATATTCAAAGTTTTTCGTACATTACTGGGAACTCGATTTGCAAGACACGGGTTTTCCGAATTGCGCTTCAGTATTGCAACGTGCCTCGCACAAGGCCAAGACAATTTTATTACGCCGAACAGAGATTGTGTAGAGTCGCTATACCTAACTAATTTTATTTTTAACCTTTCAATCAATGTGGTAATTCGAGACAAAATAGAAGAACAATACGTGTCCGAACGCCGGGTTCCGCTTGGGGTTTGATGAAATAAATCGAGTGTAGTGTATTATCTTAATACGTTTTGTAAACTATGTAACTATGCGCGTATTATAGGTTATCACATAATGTTGAACAATGCATTTAAGTTATATAACACATAATACTTACTGCATGCACTGAATTGATTGTGTAATTTATTAAGCAATAGTTGTTTCTTAAGCAGCTGTGTCGCTCACGCTTTTGTTGTAACCCAAATGACATACAACACGAACATTATTAGTATTACAGATGTGATAGATACAAATAGTCTGTATGGCTTGAAGAGTTTATCAACTGCAGCAATACTATTACATTATTGTACGGGAATTTAATTTTAATAGAATAATTTAAAACAAAAATTTTACATTCACGTTTACCCGCGTGATATTTTTACAAAAAAGTAGCCTATCCCGGAATGTATCCTATGTCTGTGTCAAATTTCATCAAGACCCATCCAGCCGTGGCGTGATTGAGTAACAAACATCCAAACATCGTAACTTTCGCATTTATAATATTAGTAACATTATAAACACTAAATTAAATCATTGCCTTAAAAATATAAATACATTTAATCATATTTTTTTATTTGATTTATGAAAATATCAGCCCTACAATGTTTTCGTATTTGTAAATCACTACATAGTGAAAAATAACGTCACTTTCTCTGTTATTGTCCCTATGTATACTTAAATCTTGAAAATTACGCAACGGATTTTGGAGCATTTTTTTATATACATACAGTGATTGAAGAAGAATATGTATATAATATGTATAGTAACATCCATTAAATAGAGCAGAAATTACATATCAGTACTGCACCCGTGTGAAGGCGGTGCGAGTCGCTAGTAAATTATACTAGTAATACGATTCCAAGATTTCTTTGTGCTAATTAAATCGATGACCCAGATTGTGCTGTGCGCCTGTGGCCACGTAATGCTGGGCTTCCCTAAGGTTCCAGCAAGGACTTCTATTCAACACGCACCTGGTGACGGGCGGGTTTTTTGAACGGTTTATTGAGGATACTAATTAATAATTACATGTTTGATAGACAATCTTTAAGTTTTTAACACATTAACAACATGGACCATATATTTATGGAAAAATAAATTACCTACTAAATATAATACATGAAACCAAATATTACAAAAAAAAAAACTTTTTGCCGGTCCACCGTGCCGGAGCCTGTCTCTTATTCCACAGTGTTTGTTATGTTTATATTGATTAATATTTGAACATAAAAATTATATCATTGGAAGGCGATAAGACGTCAAACGATCAGACATTTATTATCTGATGGTAAGCATTCGGCGCTTATGGACAAGCGCGTCGATTGCTCCCACACCAGAGAAGGTACGAGCGTGTTGCCAGCCTTTTGGGGACCAGGATTTTCGGATATTTAGGGATTAGGGAGGGATCGGGGCAGGAGAAGAAAGATTGGGCCTCCAGTAAACTCACTTACACGGCGAAACCGAATGCTGTGGTTGTATCATGCCAGTTTTCCATGAGGTCGTGCTATCACTTTGATCGAGCCGACCCATTTGCGCCAAAGCATGGTTCTCACACACTTAGATGCTTTATAATTATGATTCGATGCTTTAGCATACATAGTAGTGACGTAAATCTTAGTACCTAATTAGTAACTTTTAGAGAGAGTTTGTGCTTTACAATTTACACAATGTGCTCAATATAAAATGTGATGCGTTGATTAAAATATCTTTAACATTCTTCGCGTTGTATTCCCACGATAATTTACTTTACGTAGTTTAAACTATTATGCTAATATGTACAGTCAGGCAGACTCTGAATAAGTTTTCTCAAAGAAAATGTGCGAAGTAATGGAAGATGTACCTAGCGTGGTTACAATATTTGTTTAGGTTCAGAATTTTTGTAGATTTTATAACTCTTAGTCATGCCTGACCCAAATCAGGAATCGAGCCTGAGACAAATGGGGATTTAGGCTATGTCAAGAATTACGTATTAACATTAAAACAGTTGCGGCTCGCAATATGAATGGCGGAGAGAGGGTTCACCCATATTTTTTAGATTGTATAAATCTTCAAAAAAGACTGAAGATGTAATAATTGTTACAGCGCCATCTATGTTAAACATCAAGAGTCGAGAACCGAAGTGAAGGTTTCAAGTGAAGGTTGTACGCATTACATTTGACGTTCAATGTTACTTGTATACTTTGGTCGTACGAACGGTTTCTGTTTTAGTTCGTGCTCACTGCAGTAGATGGCGTTATTTTAAAAACCTTTGTTAATCTAAAAATTAATTTAAATAAATTGTTATGTAAGTGGCTAGTCTAGACGAAATGACAATAAATTTCTTGATGATAGACTTGTTAGTGTAGTTTCCAGGTCACTCAAAGTATGTACCTAACTTTTTCGATACGAAATATACCTACTTAGTATCAACAAAGTGGTTGAAATACTAAGAAAAGTATTTTCACTTCCGATTATCCTTTCTGAAAAAGAATACACTAAAAAGAATTGTGTGACAGAGCCATGCTTGGATATGAATGGGCCGGCTCGACCGGAGTGATACTACGGCCTCACTGAAAACCGACATGAAACAACCTTTACGTTGTGTTTCGCCGTGTTGAGTGAGGTTACTGGAGGCTCAATCTTTAAATCCCCTATCCTTTAATCCCTAATAATCTACAAGAGGTCGGCAACGCACGTTATACATAGTAACTGCTTTGTTATTACGATTGTCTATGGGCAGCGCTGATTGCTTACCACCAGGTAACATAAAAAAAAGAAGTTAAAGTGTGTAAGAGCCATGCTTCGGCACGAATTGGTTGGCTCGACTGGATACGGTCAAACAAAAAACCGATGAGAGGTATGTTAGTTAGGTTACAGGTATCCCTATCCTTTTCCGTTCCCAATCCTCAATTCCAGAAATACTTATATGGACATTAAATCAATACGTCACACGCCTGGTATTCCAGGTTTCCTTGGGAGGCGACCCATGTTATCGTATAGGTACCGCACAATCTCAAGTAAAAAAAATAAACAAATTGGAGCCTCCACGTAAGGAAAAGAATGGAAAATTAATAATAAGTTAATGTATGTACATAGTACGGGGAAACTCTTAAGCGTTAAGCTCTTTTAGTCGCGTGAAAGAAAACGTTCACATGTGATTTTCTTCATCATTACATTGATATAAACATCTTCCTTAGTAAGTTCTCCGAAGCTGGAATATGTTAAGGGTATTCCTTACCTCTTCTGTTAGGTTGTAATTTCAGTCCGACCAACGTCTTATTTATTTTTATTATATATTATATTATTTATCTATACTAATATTATAAAGAGGTAAAACTTGTAAGTTTGTATGTAGGGTGTGATCTTTGGAACTGCTGGTCAGATTTCCAAAATTCTTTCACTGATAGATAGCTACAATGTTCCTTAGTGCTATAGACTATAAAACATCACGCTACGATTTAATGGAGCCGAGCAGCGGGTGAAATCGCGCGAGAGTAGCTAGTAATTTTATAAAGCTGAAGAGTTTGTTTGTTTGAATGCGCTAATCTCCGGAACTACTGGTTCGAATTGAACAATTCTTTTTCTGTTTGTTAGTCCATTTATTGAGGAAGAATATACGCTATAAAACACCACGCTATGATCTGTAGGAGCTGCGCAGCGGGTGAAACCGCGTGAGATTAGCTAATTATGAGATAAGAATTATGTCTAATTTTGGACAAATTCGCGCCCAAATTGCGGCAAAAAAGGTCAGCATCACACTCCTCCTCGTAACTCCTCCTTTGTTGCGGTTGTTCATCCCGGTGCTGCTTGCTTAACATCAGGTAATCGGTATAATCGTTTACCCTCCTATAACATAAAAATAAAAATACTTACAACTTTCAAGTTTATTTTTGCACATTACAGTCTTACGTGTAGGTTAGCCTCTCAATAGTTTTATCTGCATTCGATTGCATAGCGAGACGAGGTCGTCTTCGGTTTCAGTTCTAATAAACTATATTTTGTCTGAATTTTTTGTCCGTCTTAACTTTCGTTATGTAAGGAGATATGGAGCAGATGTGAATGCAATATCTCAAGGTTATTGAAATGCAATAACTCTGCAGTCGGAACTTGGTTCCGTCTATCAGTTTGTCGGTTTTCCAGGTCTTTTAAAGCCACACATACCTATGTGTGACGTTCAATATTCATGATATTCATTAATAAATGCCATTTTAATTGTATAAACATAAGTTGATTATTTTTTATTGCTAACGGTAATAAATAATGTTAATTCCTTATTAATTTTATTTGCATATACCCTAATTAATATTAAAAACAAGAGCTCTGTGTGTAGGTACCATTCAATCACCACGTCTACTGGCCAATACCTCGCTAATTGCGGATACAAAGCGGATATTGTTTGCCCTTGAAGTAGTAAATATTTCTAGATCAACAGCGTGTTCGTAATGATTTTTTTGCGATTATCAAATATATCTTCATTAAATGTCAATATCGCACTCCTCGGGCCTACTAAGGCGTAACTGTATCAATTGCGACCTTTTCAAGTAGCAACTGATTTAGGCGACAACCGACAAGGACAGTGAGTTTTGTATTCCTAGACGCCCAAATAACAAACTATACTCATACGTAGATTATATTCATACGTATAAATAGCCGGACGATTTTTAGTTTGTCATCAGTCGACCGACATCGGTACGAAGTGATCGTCCTCATTCGGATCCAAACACAGACCTCGTTCACGATGAGATCGTTGGTGGTGTTGTTCGCTCTTGTGGCTGTTGCCGTAGCCGCTCCCAGTGCGGAGAAGAGATCAGTGGAACACGTGGCGGTGGCGTACTCCTTGCCTGCTGCGGTCTCGCACCAGTCTCGGGTGGACGTGCACTCGTCGCCTGCCGTGGTGGCCCCAGTTGCTGCTGTAGTGGCTGAGCCCGTGGTTGCTGCGCGCACTGTCGTCGCTCCTGCTGTGTACAGTGGTGCCTCAGCTGTGTCCCACCAGTCCCGCGTCGATGTGCACCACTCACCAGCTGTTGTCACCAGCTACGCCGCGCCAGTGGTCGCTGAGCACGTCGTAGCCCCCGCTGTTGTGGAAGCGCGCTCCGTGTACGCCCCCGTAGCCACCGTATACTCCGGCGGTTCCGCTGTGTCCCACCAGTCTCGTGTGGATGTACAGACCTCACCAGCAGTGGTTGCTCAGCACGTAGTGTCTCCCGCTGTAGTCGAAGCTCGCTCCGTCTATGCTCCTTCTGTGTACGCTTCTTACTGGTAAACGACAAGAGTGATAGGAACCAATGACATTGATAGTTAATAAGTTTTGTAAAGTCAAACGAAACGTATGTATTTTTTGAATAAATTCATGTTTACATTTTTATAAATTTATGTTTTTTTGTTACCTTGTTGCATACATACAGATATTACGTGTTTTAAATTAATATCAATAACAAAACTAACAACTTCTGGTATGTGGGTAATGACACCTAATGACTATACACTATGCAAGACATTTATTCGGAAGACACGGAGAATTCTAAAAAGGACAGATAAGTAAAGATTTTATTTATTACTGCTTTTGTTATACGCAAATGGGATACCATATTGAGTTTCCTTCTGATATCAACGTTTTGTAAGACAAACGTTTTTATTTTGTAGATAATATACGAGTATACTTACTGACGTTGTTATATCTTAAATTTATGGCAACAAAGTTAACCCTTTTTTTAGCTTTCAGTAGTTTCATGTTGATTTCTGAAGAGCGAAGAGATACTACCTACATATATTATAGATACTCATGTGCTTATTTCTAAAAAACCGTTGTATTTTATGTCTCAGATTAGTGATGTAAAATACGCATTTGATTCATACGAGGATTGAATACATAAATAAAGTAGCAGCCATTTTTAAATAAAAAAAAAACTCGATAGCACACAACACAGAAAAGATATGGCTGTTAGTATTATTGTGTTTGTTTTTTCTTCTTGTAGTCGGGGATGTGGTCAGCATCGGGCTAATATTTGGAGCGGATGATCCGCCTCCACTAGTTTCGATCCAGCGCATCTCTCACTACCGCGAAGAATTCGGAGGACGATGAATCTTTTACTTGAGTTGTCCATCTGGTTGGCCCATCTGGTATTTGTTTACTAATTATTTATCTTCAGGAAATGTTTGTATGAGGCCTTTACGCATGTATAAGTAGGTTTTATTATTGTAACGTTATGCCCACTTCATGTGTACGGATGCTAAGAACTTCCTGATGTTTGTTTGTTGGCGGACGCACAGGTGACATATGGTACATTATTCATAGATGTATAAGAGAATGTTCGCTATGAGATGAGGTGTAATAACTTAATAACTTTTTTATGATTTGATTCGACGGTAAACGAGTAGACCGACTGACTGACTGTATACTTGTTAAGTTGTTAGTAAGCGATCAGCACAAAAGACTTACGAGTCGGTTGCTGTCTTTCTGCGGGTTAGGGCTTGGGAGATTTGAAGGAGATCACTCACAAGTCACACGGCGCAACACAATGCTTTGCTTATTTCCCGCCGGTTTCCTGTGAGGTCGTGGTACCACTTCGGTCATCCCATTCGTGCCGAAGCGTGACTCCCCCACACTTAATAAACTTGCTGATGCGTACGTTTAAAAGTATACATTCCAAATTTCTGGATATTTTTTTAATAAGTCTAAATGTCCAACATTATTTTGGTTGGCTTGGGGATCGAACTCTGAGACCCCTTACACAGAAGTCACATTTTCATTCAACAAGGCAGTCCAATATGGCATAACTTAACTTTTTAAGATTATAAAACGGTTTTCCAAAATTTATAATTTATTGTCTATGATTTATTGCAGAATTTCGTTTTTCAAATGCCTAAAATCGTGAAGCATTCTAAAATTATAATGAGAATAGGATGGGACTTGTGAGGATTATTGACCTACGTACTATTTGGTTTTCATCAAAATATATTATATACAGTAATACAAGTACTATATGATGTATAACTTTATTTTAAATACAGTTTTACATAAAACATATTTATAGACACGATACCGTACCGTATGATATTAACGTTAAACAATATCTGCTGAATATTTTCAGTCCGCGTCTCAGGAGCTCTTGGCATTTCAGTGAAAATGTCACAAATATGTAGCTGAATAAACTTGATATAAATGATTTAAATATGATATTTATTTTACTTCGCGTTAGGAGTTAATTTTTTTTAAGCATGGAACGTAGTTCTCGTTTTTAGCCCTAAGATTCTACATATATAATATGTACTTATTAAAATTGTGTAGAGGTCGTAACACTAAAAAACACAGGTATATTGATAGTGAATTCAGTATATGTTAAGATGTCTACATATATATGGTATCTGTGAAATTATGAAAATACGTTCTTAACACTGGTAGTAAACTCGAGATACCAATTGCCAATCTTGTAGGTTGGAAAATCGTCCAATGACCTGATGACTTGCTCTAAAAGAGTGACAGACCCTTACTAATTAAAAACCAACCCCATAAAAATATAAATTTTATTTAGTAGTTCAAGATTTTTATTGCTTTAATGGTAGGCTGGTGTTATGATGTTTTATTTAGTTCATAGTTCTTGGGGCAAAACTTGCGTTGTGTTAGCTGAGTATAGTAGGTTCATATGGTGGAATTGGCAAATACATGGAGTTTCCATTATAAATTCAAGCGAAATCAATGATGAAGAAGTTTGAGAGGTATCAAGTTGAGCTTGGGATAGTAACGAGATAATATTATTTAAATCCATTATATCTGCAATTAAAAACAGATGACGATATTCCTCGTTTCATTTCTTTCAATAATTACTTTTATGTGATTTTTAATAGAGAGCTTTTTAATAGGAATTAAAGTTTGAAATTTTTGCATTGTACTATGAGTGCGAGATTTGTATTGATTAGCTACAGACTAGACGATAGCGAACGAATTGTATTCCGGTCGTGATCTCTAATAAACTTGAAACAAGCTCCGCGTGAGAATATTACTTATTACATCCACATAGTTGTGTAGTATGATATTTTTTAGGCAAAGCACAGTATTTAGTTATTTCTTGTAATTTTTTAAGTGGAGTTAGATGGCATTCATTTAGTTTAATTATTGCTATGTCGGATAGTGATGATCTTAATCCCTACACTAGACTTACACTTTTAACATCGAATGTTTGCGTATGGAATGCAATAAACGTTAAAATTTGAGATTAAGTCAAAATTGATAACTTATTCTGATAATAGAGTTGTTGAGTTTGACTGTAAGACGAACGAGTGATCTCGAGTTCGATATCCGAGTCTGACAAAGGATTACTCAGTTAGTTTAGTCCTGTTTTACACGGTATTATTACACACGATTATTTATGTTTTTTATGAAGTGAGATGGAAGATATTATTGTTTTGTTAAACAAAAAACTGGCTAGAACGGAGCAAAAAGAACCTATGACGTGTCTGAATGATTAAAATACAACTTCCAAAGTTTAACTGTTCTTTAACGTTACAAAAATATATAAAGAAATATAAACAATAGTAGGTTAGTATCGCAAAGCGTGACGTAGATCCACGATTTTGGATTGGGCTCTGAGCTCAGTGAAAGACAATACAGTTTAATTATTATGTAACGCTGTTATCACACCGGTAGCTTGTTGTGAAATACGATCCCTTCAGATAATTATGTAAATACAATAACAAATATTTTGTATCAGTATAACGCGTACCTCAAGTAATATTTCCGATTTTTATTTTATCCATAGCCTAAGATCACACAGGCGGCTGCCGTGTCGGAAGTGTAATTAAGTACTGCGCAAAAGCTGCCTGAGTGCAAGGCTGATTACTTTCATAATGACACTTGACATTGCTATTCATACCTAATGTAATTTAAGATATGAGAAATTATCAACTGTGTATGTACCCAGCCTATAATTTGACCGCTCGGACTATAAAAGAGTCCAATAGCAAGTGAAAAGTATCAGTCAGCCGTTACACGGTTTGAAGTGATCTTGTGTATCGTCGAATCTCACAACACAGACCACGTTAACATGAATACGCTGGTGGTGTTCTTTGCTCTATGTGCGGTAGCATGCGGCTCCCTGGTGCCGCTGGCGCAGCCTCCTCACCACCCCGCGGTCGTGCTGGACCCGCACGGCCGCCCGCTCGACACCGCCGAGGTGATCAACGCCCGCGCCCTGCACCTGCAGGCTAAGGCCCTGGATGGACACTACGCTCCCCTCGCGCACGCCGCCGTCGTGCCCGTCGCCCACTCCGTGGTCGCCCCCGCCGTGGTGGCCGCTCCCGCTGCCGTGTCCCACCAGTCCCGCGTGGATGTGCACAGCAGCCCCGCCATCGTGAGCCACGCCGTTGCCGCTCCCGTAGTAGCGCACAGCGTCTACTCCGCTCCCCTGCTGGCCCACTCCGCCCTCGGCTACGCCGGTCACGGACACTACCTGAAGAAGCGCTCCCTGGGACACCTCGCCTACGCCGCTCCCGTCGTCGCCCACGTAGCTCCCTCCGCCGTGTCGCACCAGTCCCGCGTGGACGTCGTCTCCAGCCCCGCCGTGGTGTCCCACGCCGTCGCTCCCGTAGTATCCCACGCCTACGCCGCTCCCGTGGTGGCTCACGCTGCCCCCGTGGTCGCTGTGGCTCCCTCTGCCGTGTCCCACCAGTCCCGCGTTGATGTGCGCACCAGCCCCGCTGTTGTCTCTCACGCCGTCACTCCCCTCGTCCACGCTGCTCCAGTCTACGCTGCCTCTGTTTATGGTGCCCACGGATACGCCGCGTATGGTGCCCATGCTGGACTCGCTCACCTTTTGAAGAAGCGGTCTGTTGCTCACTTCGTGGCTCCCGTTGTGCACGCCGTTCCTTCTGCTGTGTCCCACCAGTCTCGCGTTGATGTGATCTCCAAGCCCGCTGTGGTGGCCACCTATGCTCACGCCGCCCCTGCTGTATACGCTGCCCCCGCTGCTGTGTACGCCGCGCCGGTGTCCCACTTCGCCCCGATTGCCCACTCTGCCATCTGGACCGCTCCCCATCATCTAAGCGCTGCACATTGGTAAAGCAAACTGAGATTCGACGAAAACGAATATATTTTTCGTTTTAATACTTATTTATTAAAATGAATAGACGAATAAAACAATAATAATTATTTCTTGTATTTTATTTTCTCGTAACATTGATTATAAAGTAGTATTATTTAAAGTATTACCTACTACACTTTACTGAGTAAACTTACTACTACTACTACCTACTCACATTAGGAAATTCAAAAAATAAATAATACCTTTTTTATATTAAATGACTTGATCCTCACATCAATTTGTACAAAAACCTGTACATAGCTAGTTAGAGTCAGCTTGCGTCACATGGTGTCTACCGAGCCTCTCTGGATTCAGCGTATTGGTTATTACATTATGGAGGGTATGACGTTGTGGCTTTATACCCAAGTCCTTGTGGGCACGTTCGTCATTAATGTACGTTGATAATTTAATTCAGTCTTTTCCAAAGGTGAACTATGCGGACCACTTCGGAAATTGTTCCTATTTAATACCCAGAGCATCCATATGCCACCATTAACTGAAAAAAGAAAAAAATATAAACGACAAAAAACATACAAAGTATTCCAAGAATTTCAATTTTTTGCATTATGTTTTCCTTTAAATTTTTATAAGTGTCATTCTATAACATACATAATTTGATTTCAGTGTTATGGCTTGCTAAGTACAACAGCTTTCGTTATAACCATGTTGCAATACTTGAATGATTGAATATACAGTTGTATTAATTGAGAAATCCAATAGTAGATTAGAATCCTATAGATAAAATAACGAACTTCCGAATGTCATTTGTTTGTACCTGCCTCTTGCAACTGCATATTTTAATATAAATTGTAGTATTTCGAGATTGTTCTTCCGCCGTCCTCTCAAACATTCAAAATGCAATATTATATAATTATAGTGGCTTAGTAGCTTTGTAGTTTAAAGTGACAGTCACAAGGACATTACAGAACTTTAACTGTTTGCATCGCAAGGTTAGGAATTGGCGAATATATATAATTCAGTACATGAAGTACCTACATTAGACGCATTCCTAGGACCACAATTAGCTGAGCTATTCAGGTATTCAAGATTCGTGTCAAAAGGCGATTTGAATTTTACTTTTGGTAACAACTGGGGTATAGAGAGGAACTAACGAAATATGCGATGCGGCATTATCGAATGAAATCAATTTGATGACAATTTAGAAGGGGATTTTAAGTGCGTCTTACGTTTTTGTATTACGGGATTTAACTCGCACGTACCTTTTATTGGTTTTTTGCTTGACGTTTCGTTTAGTTCAGTCTGCTTGTGACCACGGTGGGTGTACCTAATCCTGCCGAAACGTCACGCAAAAGAAAACGAATAAAAGATACGTGCACGTTAAATCCCGTAACACACTAAAGTATTTATTAGCAACGCGAAATTTTACGTATTTTGTTTCTCGGTTACCGTAGAATTACTAGATAATAATAATCTAGATAATAATAATCTAATAGACTATTGTGGTATCCTTTTTTGTGTGATGACTGACTGACTGACTGACCAAAGACTTCTCTCGCCCAGGTTAGGACGAAAGGGAGTGTCAGACTCTTACTGACTAAACCCCCACCGTTCCTTCTGCTCCTTTAGGCCGAGGCTGCGGTACCTTATTGCGCTAGCACCGCAACCTCGGCAAAATCAGATGAAAATATGTACATTTAATATTGGAATAATTTAATTTTTGCGTCTATTGTACTAGAAGAAGTAGACTATATTAGAAGTAAAACATATTACATACATATTACTGTTCATCCATTGTAATTAATGTATACAATGATAATGAGTGCAACATGCATGTATCCTATGAAAGAACCTCCGAATGCTGTACCAAATACTGCATTTGGCCAGTAGAGCCGGGAATGAAACCGTGCGACAAAAAGTTTTGTTAAGCGTATCTTCTCACAGTTATAATGCTGCGTGTTAATCTTGTTCGGTCTAATGAAGCCTTCACTTGTTTTAAAATAATTGATCAATTACCTACAACCGTGGTGTAATAGAGATTGTTACTAGATGTATTCAACAAGACGGCTTTCGTAGGTTTCAAAAGATTTTGAAATTCGTATTTGTGAACAATTATTGTGAAAAGAATGCGATTTTTTTTTAAATTGTTTTTTTTTTTTTTTTATTCACGACTGCGCAGATTTACTCATTGTAAGAATCAAAGACTCAATTTCATACGAAAAAACCTTTCAATTCATATATGTATTGTTAAAGGTGTTGTTTCTATTATTTCTATATTTCTTCATCTTAGGATAAAATGTGAAATTAAAAGTAAACATGTATTGATTATATTATTTATTTTATAAATATTTTTTTATTATTTTTACATCATCTTAGGTGATAATCTTAGGTGTTCGTCAGTTTCGCTGTTTACCAGGCGTGGCCGTGGACAAGAGGAGCAGAGTGGAGGAGTCCATGAGCGTGGGCGCCGTACGCGGCGTATCCGTGAGCGCCGTAGGCAGAGGCGTAGACGGGAGCGGCGTGGACGAGGGGAGCGACGGCGTGAGAGACAACAGCGGGGCTGGTGCGCACATCAACGCGGGACTGGTGGGACACGGCAGAGGGAGCCACAGCGACCACGGGGGCAGCGTGAGCCACCACGGGAGCGGCGTAGGCGTGGGATACAACGGGAGCGACGGCGTGGGACACCACGGCGGGGCTGGAGACGACGTCCACGCGGGACTGGTGCGACACGGCGGAGGGAGCTACGTGGGCGACGACGGGAGCGGCGTAGGCGAGGTGTCCCAGGGAGCGCTTCTTCAGGTAGTGTCCGTGACCGGCGTAGCCGAGGGCGGAGTGGGCCAGCAGGGGAGCGGAGTAGACGCTGTGCGCTACTACGGGAGCGGCAACGGCGTGGCTCACGATGGCGGGGCTGCTGTGCACATCCACGCGGGACTGGTGGGACACGGCAGCGGGAGCGGCCACCACGGCGGGGGCGACCACGGAGTGGGCGACGGGCACGACGGCGGCGTGCGCGAGGGGAGCGTAGTGTCCATCCAGGGCCTTAGCCTGCAGGTGCAGGGCGCGGGCGTTGATCACCTCGGCGGTGTCGAGCGGGCGGCCGTGCGGGTCCAGCACGACCGCGGGGTGGTGAGGAGGCTGCGCCAGCGGCACCAGGGAGCCGCACGCCACGGCGCACACAGCGAATAACACCACCATCGATTTCATTCTGAACGTGGTCTGTGTTTTTTCTGACGAACTAGATCACTTCAAACCGCAGACGGTCGACTGATAAATTTGGCCAGTGCGTTCGTGTATTTATACTGACCGGATATAAGTTAAAGGTAAAGCAATTTCAGACGTAATATATTCGTTGCTACATTGTTTAACTAGCTTTGCATTGACCTCGGAGAATGTGTGGCGGTCAAACAAAATGCGTCGGAAGAAGTGTACGGGTAATCATAAAGCAATCAATAAACATGGTGGATATATATGAGATATTTATTTCTAGTATTTTTAATTTCGAGTAAACAATACTTTCTGTGGGATGGGATCTGGGATGACCAACTGGACAAAGACTGGGATGATCTGGGGTGTTTATGTCTCAAAAACAACCTTAAATTTTTTGCCACATTAGATTTATTCGAAAGTTAAAACATTTCTATGTAATAGGACCTGTTAATGATCACCAACTGCATCATAGAAGAAAAAATAGAAAAAAAACAACATTGTAAACCCCAATAATTCTTTGTCTGATATAGGAATAAAATCTAGGACCTTGGTCTCAACTAATACGGCAGTCAGGTATATAGCAACACTTCCCATTTCTTATGAATGCGGATACTTGTAGTAGGCTGTGCTTGTTTGACTGGTCACCGTGATTTGACAATATCGCGAGCTGTGCGTAAATTAGTTTTTAGTGCATTTTCATTCTCAGACTAGGAATTCGGTTGATGCAAACTACGAATTTACAATTACAGTGCCTATAACCACTTTCGTACCTATTATATATTTCTTAAAATGTATTTAATTAATTATTAAGTTTACGGCTTACGTAGCCACTTATCAAGGAACTCGACTACTTTCAAGTCACAATGAGGACTCATATTCATTGGCGCACGTCGTGCAGTTAACTGATGTGAGTCCCTAGTGTGACTTGGCAAATTCTTCAGCCGTGGACATGATGATGATGTAAGTGGCGGGTTTACGTACGGCATAGTGGACTAAAATTGAGCAAAAACCCACCCGACTTGGCTCAGCAGTTCTCAGTTTTAAATATACGTATTTACTTTACGACTGACAGAAATAATTTTGATGCAGTTTTTATTAGTTGGTGATAATAATGATAGTGATGTATGTGCGAACATCGTGCCTGTTATATACATGTAATTATTCATACGCTTTTTACCAGTGAAATTATAACTCATTGTGAAATCGTGAGGAACGGGTCTATTGTTAGATACTAGACGCAAATAAGTTTCAGTTGGAATTTGTTATAGGTTTCTTTTTATTATAATTGATGGCAACAAATTGCAATATATTAATTAAGTCTGCCCACGCAACATCTTCCGATCCTTGTTCACCACTCAAGCACTTTTTTGACCTGTCGGTCATCTGTCCTTCGAGCGTTGTAACCCGCAAGTTGCCACTTGAGCTTATAGATATAAAGAGCTATGTCGGTGACTTTGGTTCTTTTGCTCACTTTCACATTTGATATTTTGTCGCGTAAAGAAATTCCAAGCTCGCTGGGTGACTTGGGTCTCTTCAACAGACCAGAAGTAAGAGACCACGTCTATGTACCGTATGCCAAACTAACTGATAGTACATCCTAGTCTTCAGGCACTGCAGGATTTTTAATATAACTGCCCGAACGCTGCCCATCCAACTTAGATCCTTCGGGCGACCTTATTATTGAATTTGGATCTACTTAGCTAGATAATCTGTGGTAGATTTGTATGCTAGTTTATAACTTGTAGAATAGGCTCTGCCCTTTCAACTACTTGAAATCGAAGTGATGTATTCGCCACTGATATTGATGTCCAGTATACTCCAGTCCGTCCATATAAACGCACACTTGACAAGCTAAAATGGAAATACCCCTTTAGAGTTTGGATA